TCCCATTTTGCGCGTTCTTGACGGATTTCTTTGCTTTTTTCGCCACTGGGGCATTATTCAGCATCTCCACTTCCACTATGAACCCAGTCCAAACTTATCGTAATCCCTCGCTTTAAAGGAACTCCAAGTAATTCACAAAGTAAGTGGATCTGCGCACGGGAAGTTCCAATGTGAACGAGATCGCGGCGTGTTGCACCATCCGGAAACTTGTAGGATTAAGGAACCCTCCTATACGAGTCAAACTTGGAAAACCACCCACTACCGTCACCTAAGCCGAGTTCAGGAGTTTCCAAACGCTTTCGCAGCGATGAAACAGCCGCGAAGTGACGCAGTGTTGGGATTAAGCACAGAATTTGGAGAAAATTAGCTTCGTTTGAAACAGCACTCAGGCGTATGAACAAGACGCCCCTACTTGTAAGACTACGAAAGTTCAGAAGGTGCAAGTCAAAGGTCTGAGATCAGATCGAGCAACGATCAGTTCACAGAACTTTAACTTGCCCTTGCGATTCAATGCGCTAGATTGACGCGTCTCCGCAGTGTTGGAATTCTAAATTTTAACGAGCAGTTTCTGAATTGGCCCAAGATGAATTTAATGCGCCTACTTGTGTGCACGGTGGATGTCTCCTCCAAGCGACTCGAGGCCTCCACTAAAGCTGGTGGAGGGACTTGAAGGAAAACGATTGGTACTACTCTTTAGTGGACATTGAAATGTTGTTTATATTCAGAACCAGTCAGAACTCGAACTGATCAGTTATTCATCAGTGTCCTAGTTTTTTTGACTTTCTGTAATTTTCACCTACCCTGAATAGTTTTCCACCTTCTGTATAGAGTATGGATATTAGCCTAATACAAAGCTCTACCTTTTTCCCTCACTTCGAACCACAATACCCAGCACTGCGCACATAACGCGAAGCACAAGAGACCGGGCAATAGTTGATTTCCGCAGCAGGCAAGCGACGAGAAAAGTGTGCACACCGATGAACAGACGGATCAAGAACACTGCGCAACCTGAAAGAACCAGAATGGGCTCAATCGTGAATCAGGACAACATAAATTTGAAAGTGTTTACCTAGTGGTAAATACGCGACTAACAGCACTTTCGTGATTATACTCGGAAATCGATCCAAAAAGAATAAGTCTTTTATGTCTGGTGGCAGGGACATCTGAAAGGGATGATACGATAAATCGGTTTTTAAATTGAACAGAAATATTTTTCGATATAAAATGAATTCAACATGCACATAGAACGCTTCAAACAATTCAAATTGTATTTATAAGTTCCCAAAGTTAGGATAACAGACAACACCATAGCTTAGCTCAAAACATCAAACATAAGCAGAACTTATCATATTAAATTTAGATGCCTATCATTAAAGAAACAATCATGTAGAACTCATCACTCAATGAATGCTGGTCCTCAAGACTAACCCAATGAACATTTCATGATATCGCAACTTGCAAAAAAATAAAAACATGAAGTGACTAATTTCCAGTAGAATACTCACAAGTATAACTAGATTCACTACGACACTATTTTGCAGAAATGCAAAGAATAATTTGAGCTGAATAGCACATTATTTCAAGAGAATTAGCGATGCCTAGACAATGAATACTGAACAAAAAGTAATTACAACTACACGCAAATAAAATCAACAAAGAGGACAAAGGGAAGTCCTCAACTATCACAATAACTTCGACAATCACTGGCGGGAGACTGGAACAAACCGTCCACGAGGTAGACAGATCACGCTCGAGACGTCGTGAATGTTGGCTCCTCCTTCGATCTAAACAGTTGTGTAATTGAGTTACAAAGTGATAGTCATAAGCAGACAGAGAAGTGGTATAAAGGCATACAACTCAAGGTAGAACCAAAACATAAAGCAACCAACTTACCAGACGGACACCGCTGTGCGTTTCTACTGCAGTGTACCCTGACGGGACTTCGACACGAGAACAGTCACCAAAAATACGCAGTCTGAAACTATATTTTAGAAAAAAGTTCTCTTTTGAAAAGAAATTTTTCGGATCATTTCGTCGTGTGTCAAAATTGAGTGAAATGGACTGGAACACGAACAGTGAATACCTGGCTTCCACAGATTCCAGTTGTCTGCGGGTTTTACTTGGACGTGGAACTGGTAGCAGTGGAGCAGGAACATTGGTGAACTCCTGAGGAACATCGCTGCTTGAGAAGAGTGGCTGAAACAGCCTCATTGGAACTTCAGAAAAACAGTTCATTACTGTTTCCTTGCGCCTTGTTTCATAAGCTAGACAGGTTTGCAAAACTTAACGACGAGATGGATGAAGCAGCATAACTACTAACAACCTGTGAACCATACACCGGTTCCATGTTTGCTTTCTGTACTGTGCCGTACATAGTAGTTCTTTCGATGCATGGTTAAGTATCCTCGACCTGTGTTACTCGGTTGTGACTTAATGCGGAAGAGTTACGTTCGTCCTTAAGTTTTGCTCACCAGTGTAATTTGTGGGGATCACAGATCCTTTTCTCAAAGGATCCTCTCCGACATCTGTTACTTACGCAGGCGATATTTTAGTCGAGTTTTGAAACGCCAACTCAAAATGCAAAAAACTGTCACTACGAGGAATCGAACCACGGACCATTTCAACACTCCGTTTTTGGTATTCAGAGGACCGTTCAGGAAAATGAGTACGGCTGTGTGGCACCTGCATGTGCCCGTATACCAGGTAAAAAGCCGTTCTAGAGAAGGCACTTCCTGAAAAACCTTCCCAGTGAGATAAGAGCTCATGGACTTGTTGTTGACAACAGCCCCGTAACCGTCGGAGACTTGAAAGAGATCAGGAAGGATGGGCATTCGCTTAATGTTATCACACGCGCAGTGGAGAGTATAAAGCTTGGAGTAACCCTATACACGCAAGTGCAGAGGGGAATCCGGAGTGCCGAACTACGCCAACGATCGAAGATCAGGGACGCTGCCGTTTTCGCCAAGGAATCGAAGATAAGGTGGGCCGGACACGTCATGCGATTTTGCGATGACCGTTGGACCAGAGCGGTTACCGACTGGATCCCTAAAGACGTCACGATACATCTAAGCTCAATGGTCAACGCTCTTCGCAAGCCCTATAGACAATGAAGGCCTTCGTGTTCCTCGAGCGACGGAGGATCCACTGGACTGCTCTTGCACGCGACAGGGACGTAATGGAAAAGGGGTTGCTGACGTCCTCAGCAAATCGATGATCAATGACACGACAGGTGATACAGGTGATTTTGTGAAGATTTATGCACGCTGGTATGTGTGGATTCACCGATAACTATATTATGAGCCAGATATTTGCTGCTTCCCTTTGGACTGCCTGTAGAGAGCATTCTCAACACTCCAGAGCGATTGATTTTTTGAGTTATTCGAAAGTAGCGAACAGTATCGAAAAGGGATTACCTTGGTAAGGGCGGGGTCAGCTATTACAGACTCGTCTTCTTCTTCGGCAGACATCAAGTTGAGAGCATCGAGAAGAGTGTGGTGAGGTGTTGAAGTAGCTGAAATTTATATCTGCTCTTTTAAAAGCGTAAAATTTGCATTTTTTTTTGAAAGAGGAAAGTAATAACAACAGATTCGTCGATTATCCGCAGTCCTGCTCCAATTTGTGGGGAAAACTACGCATTTCTGCGATGAACATATATGTAGTTCATAACACAGCAATAGCTTGTCTAAGAAACGTGATCATAGAAAAAGAACTGTAGGTGGTTGTGATCTGTGTCGCATATTTTGTAAAATGTGACAGTATTTCCTGAAGAAGTTACCGGACTATCATCCAAAATCAAAAGCGGACTCATCATCCAAAATGAATTACTTCGAAAAGATGTGAAATTGAGAGAGTTACGTGAGAAGAAAGTTACGCTCAATGACTCATCTGTTAAAGCTATAATCTGACACAGAAGGGGTAAGTGCGTGGTAGAAGTTTTGGATTCGAGTAGAGTCGAGTATGAAGAGTAATAGGGTAGTTTGCGTCAGAAGTTACGAGATCGTGACCAAAACCTCGACGATTTCTTACGGTTAAAGCAGCACTTTGCAAGGAAGCTTGTTAGGAAGTGAACAGATTGATATTGTATCCTACTTCCTATTAAAGCACTTCGCCTGTCGTCTGCTATCGCTCTGCATGTCTGTCACGAAATTCCCTAGCTCCTGGAGATCTGCCTGGAGAGACCGGGTCAAGTGTGGAATGGGTGGCCCAGGTCTCGAGAACACAAAAGATACATTATCTAAGCGAAATCCCGCCCGTGCGCATAGAAATGAGTGGTACTTACGACCAGGATTTCAAATTCAGTTCCAAAACAGCCTCGAAACTGGGAAAAAGTGGGTAAAGGTGTGCATTGGTAAGTCAGATCGAATTAGGGAGACCCACCCCCGGTGGGCGGGGCGTTCTCTAAAAAAGGTGCTTTATGAAAAATTTCATAACTCGGTTGGAGAAAGCCTACAGAGCAGAAAAAATTCGGCGTATACAAGTCATCATAATTCTGTTCCAAGAAGTCTTGGAGAGCGGCAAAAAAGTGGAAAGAGATTATAGAAAGGAAGGTGGCTAAATTGCAACGGTTAGCGTGGCGTACACAAAAATGGGCGGAGTTCGCTAACAAATTCATAACTTGGTTCCAAGAAGTCCTAGAGGCCGGAAAAAAGCGAGTAGACTGGCAACGTTAGGGAGGTCAAATGCTACAGTGAGTGGAGCGCACTCGAGTGTGGGCGAGGTTTGCATGAACGTGTAATTCGGTTCCGAGAAGTTCCCGAAACCAGAGAAAAAGTGGATAGTGGTCGCTAAAGGAAATGAGGTAAACTATTATCGATGGACGGGAGATGCACCGAAGTGGGCGGAGTTATCCACTAGACATCACGGTTCAATTCCAAGAAGTCCCAGTGAGCAGAAAAAATAGGTCGAGTCCGACAACGGAAGGAGGGCAAATTTTATTGGAGGGTGGGGCGTGCACCCAAGTGGACGAAGTTTGCCAGGAAGCATTATGAAAATATGGATAACCTGTTTTATACCACTGCAGTCCGTGTGATGCACGCGAACGCGCCAAAGTGGTATGTATAAATCTGCTATCGATCTTACCTTTCAAAATGATTTTAGCCACCGACCGGCACTTCTCATCATTGGTGCTTTTTTGTTCTGCGTTTTGGCTCTGTATATCTGTACTGACATCACTAGACCGCTTTTGTGCTATGTCATCAGGTAGAAGTGGTTTCCGTAATTGTAGAACCTAAAAAAACTTCTTAGTCATAAATAAACTCACAATTTTGAACAATTGAAAAATGCTAGTCTCCAATTATGCAACCATGTAAAGAATCTATAAAATTACGCATACTGTTCCAGCATCGCTTTGCCCCCGCTCATAGATCACAGATTATGTACTTGAGAGATTTGGCGATTCAAGGATTATACTGAAAGGAACGTGCACGCAATAAAATCACCGACATATCGCACCGACGAACAGTCAATTAAGCGAAACCAATCTGATTGAGATGAGCCTAGTCCTTTCGGCATGACCGCCGAATCGTCAGGTCGCATAATCACCGAATTTTCAGGTTAACCTGCGTATGTACACCTTTCACCGGAATCGCATAATTGCATAGCCCTCCAGCTATGAACGAGCCTTAGGTCGCACTCACCTACTTCATCAAATGAGTCGGAGAATACAACAAGAATTTCCGACAGCTTACCGGTCGGAGCATAGTTTTCGACGGTTTGATGACTCCCGCAGAATCACGCTTGACCGGAGAAGGAAATATGAGAGGTCGACGTGGATTCTGATGCGGCGTTTTCCTAGTGACGCAATGAGGTTGAGTGGTAAGCGATTGCGAGCTATTTCCTGGTGGAGTAATGAAGAGGCTTGCACTGTTTGCAGGAGTGATTCGCGGTGTTTGTGATTTTACGGAACTTGGTGTCTGAAAATTCACTATTAACCACAAGAATTTAAAAAATTAAGCATCACAAGGCAAATTTCTGAGACTAACCGTGCTTGGGGTCGTTGCAGTGGAACAGGGTGTTGACTGTGAAGGAAGAGCTGCATTGTTCGTGCTAGGTGAGTTGTGAAGCACTCCTGGTGACGAGGTGTTCGAATGCTCAGACGACTCTTGCTGTGTTGAGAGCCTACTATCTGGCCTCTTTCGTGGAGTTCGAGGTGGTGGTTCACATCCATGATAAGCTAGGTAGACATTCCTGTCTGTCCATGACGACCACTTCACTGCTGGATCCAGAAGCGAAGATCGGCAATTATTACGAGCAATTTCGAAAATGCGCCTAAAAATATCACAGAACGAATGAATAACGGTAACTGCGAATATCCTGAACAATAATAGCAATGAGCTTACTTGAGTTGACAATGCTGGATAGGCGGAGTCATCAAATGCCTCCTTAAACCACTCATAGTCTTGTAGCCATACGTACATTTCCTACAGAAAGGGCACAGGAGTCCACGTGGGCTCTTAGGCTGAAAATACCGTATCAGTTTCAGGGAATCGAGAAGGAAATATCAAGAAAACTAGACCGGACATAAGATATTAGGATTATAAAATTAAACCAGGTTGGCTTACGTGGTATCTCAAAAGGACATCATCAGTGTGTTGAATCATATGTTTTTGCATCGCGTGCACACTGTGACTTTGAAAAGAACAGACAGTACAATCCCATGGTATCCTAGAAGTAATAATGTAAAATGGACCCTGATACATTACTGTGAGTTGCGAATATTTCTAAATACAAGTGGAACAATCACACAGAAGGATGCTAACTACCATTTTTTCGATGGCGTTAATCTGACATTCGGAGAAGCTACAGTTGGCATTCCTAATGTTTCGATAGCAGCCTTGTTGAAATTAAAGACCCTGAAGGGAATGACTATAAAACACACCAAATATAGCAAAATTAATAGATTTGCTTTAGAGTACGCAAAAACAACATTTTATGGAATTTAATCGTACCTAAAACATTCTTCTGAAAAGTGGTCCGTGCAGATAAGGCCTGTACTCAACATAACGGATCCGTCACGCATTCGCAACATGTCCTTGAAAAATAAAAACAATACTAAAAAAGTGAAGGAAGCGATTTAACTAACTTACAGAATACTTGAAGCCCAGCATGTTTCCCCACAACCGTTCGCCTGTCCAAATCGTCCGGGAAGTTCAAAAACATTTCCCGATCGGCAATAGTTCGGTGACAAACCACACAGACTGAACTATGTCCGCGGTCGTAAACCTAGAATGAAAAGTTCCACCAAGCATACATTGCACAGAGAAGAGAGGACAAACGTACTGAAGAAGAGTTGCGCTGTGCTGTATCGCAAGCAAAAATACTGAGTTTGCCATCAGGTCGTTTTGAAACACGAAGCATTTCTCCACCTGCACTCGACTTGGTGGCTCGAGACATGGAATCCATGTTTATGTCAGGTGGAATACTACTGTAGATCACGGAAACATTTGCCGATTCATCTGAATATAGGCACTAATTTTTGAAAAGAAAGGAATCATTAATATGATACGAACCTGACGAGGCACTAGTAGGCTCTCCAATATTTGTAAAACTTGGCAGTACGACGTCGTTGACCGCTGCCATCCTCCCGCTGACTAGGAATTGAACCTGAAAAGAGTAAGAAATCTCGCACGATTGAAAGCCATAAGGTTGAAACAATGTTTAGAAACAATAACAAGATCGAAAACATCACGCTATGAACTCAACTAATAAATGGAGTAAAAAGAAAGAACATTAAGCAATCAAACAAGTTCTTGACTTTCTATCACACTGCAGCAGCTCACGTGGTAAGAATCCAGTCCAGATAGGAAAGCAAAGAAAATTTGCAATTTTTAGAAACGCGGTATTGTATACTCTGCCACACGCTACTATTCGCCCTGTCCCTTAAATGTCCCGAAACAAGATAAAGTTATCGAAAAGTTTTTGGACGCTAACGGCTGTTTTTACATTGTATATGCCTTACAATCACCAGTAGAATTCCCGAGGCTTCGAGGCAGAAGAATCATGAATCTCAAATAACGAGAACCGTAGAGATTTGAGTTTATAGTTGACAAGCCGTACTTTCCACATATGACGAGAAGTATTGTTTGCCGCGACAACAATCATGGCACGTTGGATCACTGATTAAATTCTTTCACATCTATGGAAACTTCTTCAAGAATGGTGCACGCGTATATAGATACTTTTTTTCTTCACAGGCTTGGAGCAAGATGGCCCCCAAACCCATCTTTCATGAAACCAATTGGCATCTGACTGCATCAATCACGAAGAAATCCACAACATAAAAGAACTCCAACGAAGCAAACATTATTCACCTTCATAGCATAGCGTAAAGCAGTAACCTAACAATAATAAGCAGCGCTCCCAAACAACTCCGCCCAGCTCCCGCGAAAACTCGTACTCTCGTATCTTCATGATGCTCTCTTAACAACCCCATATCCCCTTAACAGGGTTGGGCTTTCTCTTGGGATAAGTGCCAATTTTCCCACTCATTTAGAAAACGTATGGTTAACAGAACAGCCATTAACCGAAGATATACATTTCTCATCCAACCCGATCGTTGCAGAAAGATTGGGCGGAGCACAGCTGGCAGCTTGCCATCCTCACATGCAATCTGTTTGGGACCAACGCATAACAATGGAAAGTTTATTCGCTTTTTTACATTCACAACCGTTTGATTCGTGTTTTTGATTGCATTGTTGTGAGGCGTAACACGAAAATTCGAACTAACAATCTTTATCCTCCCTTCTTCGGCCACTTCGTGACACTTGGGCTTACACAGCACCGAACAGGCGCACCCACTGACTGCGTCCTTTAATAAGATGTTTCGAGATGCTCCTTCCTTCATCGTGAACACCGACATTCTTGTACCGTTTGTCCATTCACTTTCCCATTCAGTGTTTTTGTTTCACATGTTCTTGCAGTGTTAACGACTTCCAGTGACCAGAACAGATATGAATCTTTGATAAGTTTTACTTCTGTTGCGCGAGAAAAAGCTTGCCCAGTTCAAAGAGTGGGTCTTGTTCTACAGCTCATCCTCATTTCATGTGTGCAGGCATGAACCATCTGTTTCTGTCTTTTGCAATTGCCAACCATGGTTTGCTTCGAAGTCGCCGAAAATGGCAATCGAAGGAGTCGTTTAGCTGCATTCGTGACCATCTCTCGCGGCTGATGAGCTCATCTCCATCTCCATCTCGCAGCAGGGGTAGTATCAT